GAGAGAGAGAGAGAGAGAGAGAGAGAGACTGAACTGAGGGCTGGGGTTGTGGCTCAGTGGTAGAGCGCTTGTGCGGCACTGGGTTCAATTCTCAACACCACATATAAATAATTTTTTTTTAAAAATGAAGATCCATTGACAACTAAAAATATACATTAAGAAAAGGCAGAACTTATATAAAATGAAAACATGATAGCTAAAATTTTTAATTCAACAGATTGAAAGGAAAAGTCACAAAAACTATSCAGAAAGGAAAACAAAGTAGGCAAAAAGACAATAGAAAAGAATTAATAAAATTCAAAGGAATTAAACAAACAGACTTAACACCTAAACAACAGCAGATCCAGACAGAAGACGGAGAAAATTATCAACGACAAAATATTTTTTAATGTCCCCAAAATGGAAAACATGTCTCTAGAATTAAAGAGTCTACTAGGTACATAGCACTATGAAGGAAAAGAAAAACAAATGTATAAAAATAGCCACAGTAGTTCTGTCCACCCCTTTTTATGTGCCCCTTTGCAGGGTGACTTTGCTCCTCTTCCCATCAACAAATAGCCTTTATTTTTCCATCCCTAGAGGATAGTGGGCTATACTTTCAAAATCAGAGTGTGATTTTCTGCCTAAAATCCCATATTAAGCAAAAACTCCTAAGCACCAAAATCAAGTATAAGAGTAGAATAAAATTTTCTTCAGACATGCAACAGCTCAAAAGCTGTTCCTTCTATGCATTCTAGAGCATGTACTTCAATAACATGAATAAACTAAGATAAACAAAAATATGGCATCCAAAGAAAAATCCAGAAAATCCAACTCTCAAGAGAAATTCAAAGCTGACAACTGTATACCAGATCTGAGGAACTATCAGCTCAACCTGGACCAGGAAGATACAGTGAGATCTCCATGAAAAGAAAAACAGAACTGCCAGATTTGGAACTGTCCTTGAGGATTTAGAAAAACAGCTAATAGGCTGTTTTTGTTTATTAGAACATTTGCAAAATATCAGTGATAGACACGTAGAAAATGAAGCAAAATTTGAAAACATGATTATTAGTTTCAGGGGAAACAGTTATTTTTAAAAGAAAAGGTAATCATAACATATAATGTAGCTCAGTAGTCAACAGTTATGACTCTAAACACTGACTAGTCATGAGGGAGATGAAAAGGGTGGAAGAGAGCTAAATCTCCAAAGGTGATCACAGAGAATAAAGAAATAATGCTGAAGTTGGAGATTAGATTAAGGACTAATAGTGTAAGTACATTAAGATATATGAAGTGGCAAAGAATGAATCTGTTTATATTTGTTCAGGCTATACTATGTATCTTCCAAGTGGAAGYAGTCTTTAGAAAAGCACACTCTGGTTTATCAATTAATCTGTTGCAATTTTGGCTAATGTGTGTCAGTCCTCCCAAATTTTAATCAACTCTTTATAATCCTAAAGAGTTTAGTTTCCATATCTATAAGCTGAGAACCTGATTCTATAGTTGGTGGTAATAGTAACACACTGTCAATTGTGAATCCCTACCCAAGGAGCTAGCCTTTCTTTCTTAGACCTCTCATTAAATGCCATATCACGTTGTTCAATATGACATTAACATGGTTTACTAACCTTATATAACATAAAAGGTACCCAACAAACTTGAAAATGTGCTTCGTTACTCTAAAAATCACATTTTTTAAGTATAACAGAATATATTTTAAAATACAATTGTAATCAGTGTATCATAGTTCTACTTATTGCAATGCCACTGTAGAAGATACAACCTAAAATTTCTTCATAGTAGAATGTGGCAACATTTTCAAATTGCAAGTTTATTAGGCTTGGCTTTCTAAGGTAACCCTCAAATACTGAGGTGTGAACTGGTAAAAATATGATGCTTGTATTTAGGATTCTGTATTTTCTCTATTATATCTTACACAGAACTAGTTTGTAAGAACACTGGCTCTGGGTCACAAAGATAGTTTAAAATTTAGTTACTTTACCTTTTGTCAAAAGCTCTCTCCCAGTTCCAGCCACACAACCCTCTCCTAGTCAAGAGCCTATATTCATGTTGTTCCTTCTGCCAGAAAAAGTCTTTCTTCCCACCTTCAACTGACTGACTTCCTTCTCCCAATCTCCACATTTCAGAGGCTCAAAAGTTACTTCTTTAAGACACTCCTTGACCCTCCCCACAATACTCAGCCTGCCCACCAACTTAATGTCAGGACCTGTCCCATCTCCTTCATAGCATTTATCCCAATTTTCACACATATATTTACTTGTATGCTTGTTTAATACTTGTACCCAGTAAGATTAATGATGACAAGGGCAGTGAATATTTCTTAAGAACATAAAATATACTGGGCACTGGGCTGAACATTTTATACRTTACTGTTTTTTATCCTTATAACACCCCAATGTACTAAGTTCTGCACTATCATTTACCCCATTTACAGACAAGAACCTGAGATACAGTGAACTACAAAACAACAGAGATGATCCAACCCTAGGCAACTGGACTTAAGAGTTAGCACTTATGCCATTTTGACTTCCACAAAATATAAAGCTGAACTGTCAACTCCAAAAGGACAGGTTCTGTATGTGATCTGTGCATTAGTGTACAGCATGGCACAGCCCTGTGTACTGGGARCACTGTTAATGGTATTTAACATCCTGCTTTCCTACGCCAGCAGCCCATGCAAACATCTGGCCAATGAAAGTCAATACAGGAGCTCTTTGGTAGTTTACAGTACTAAAACTTATAAAGTATCTTCTAATATTAGGAGTCATATTATTTATACTGCAGTCTCATTTATATAACTTTATTAAATATGCAATATTTGGGAATAATAAAATGTCTGTGAATATCCCAAAATTGAGACTTGTCCATTTTTTTCTACCATTTTCTTTTCTTCTAATTATTCCAAGTTAATGATATTAACAATTTTCAGGTTACTAAAGGGCTAAAAATGTACCCAAAAAAGTCCAGAACTATAATCCAGAAAAATACACTAGAAATCCACCAAGCAAATGTATGGGGTCAAGTTAGTTGTTACTGAAAATAAACATAACTCTAAAAATATGTCTAAGGTTCATTCATTCAACAAATGTTTATCAAGCACATCCTATGTACTAGGGACTGTTCCCAGAGCTGGGTGAACAACTGCTCAAGTCCCTGGTCTCATCAAACTTCATTCAAAGAGAACAACTAAGGGAATTATGTAAGGTTAAAAGTAAGTATCATCAGAAAATAAAGGCAGTTTCAGGGGATACGGAGTGACATACCAGCAAGGGTTACTATTAGGCCATTTTAGAAAGGATAAGGAGAGTGGGACACATACATGACATGACTTCTAAGTACAGGTTTAAATGAAAACACAAGAACTTCACTAAACTCTATGATTCTCAAACTTTCTCAAGTCTGTACTAAAAAGACTGAAATATAATCATTTTCCTCTACCTAGTAATAAAGGAACTACCTGAATAGATTCTAGAAGGTCGGGGAGGGGCCATGATGGATCAACTGTGGGGAATAAAATGTTAAGGATGTTAAGGATAAATCCTMGGAAAGCTTTCTGCTTGTAAGGAACAATAAATTTTTTAAAAAAATATTTATTTTTTAGTTGTAGTTGGACACAATACCTTTATTTTTATTTATTTATTTTATGTGGTGCTGAGGATCGAACCCAGGGTCTCGCACGTGTGAGGCAAGTGCTCTACCGCTGAGCCACAACCCCAGCCTSAACAATGAATCTTAAAAACTAAAGGATCTTAAAAGGGTAATTACGTGCCCTATTACCTAGCCTGCTACATTCAGAAGGAAAAGGTACCATCTTATCCCTTCTCTACAGCAAGTGAAAGGAACTGCACAATTTCACAACTAGTTATTATTAGTAAGGGAAGTACTCAATTTTCAAGATATCAGCTGAACATTGAAAGGAATATGGGACAAAAATCAGCACATAATTTTAGCTAGGAAAAAAAAAAAGGAGCTAAAATGAGAGAATAGTGCCAAGCTAATTTATTCATTTTATACATAAATGTTGAAATTTAATCACATTATTTCTTTATAATAAAGTTTAAAGAATTCTTTCTCATATACTTACCTTCCTGAAACCACCAGAGTTCCATCATCAAGTAAATAATCCTTTACATTCTGAGGAAGTGGAAGGATGACACTGGGGGAAGAAAAAAAAGTACGCCAAAAAAGGCGTCATTTTAATGACCCAGGTCATTTTTTTTTCCTTTTTTTTTGGGGGGGGGGTGGGCAAGCACTCTACCACTGAGTTACATCCCAGCCCATTTTTTAAAATTTAATTTCAAGACAGGGTTTTGTTGAGTTGCCCAGGCTGGCCTTGAACTTCCTTTTTTTTTTTTTTAATTGGTGCATCATAATTATACATAACAGAGGAATTCATTGTTGGCCTCAATCTTTCAACCCTTTGTCTCCCAAGCAGCTGAAATTATAGGCATGCATCACTGCATCCCACCACACTTGCTTAATTTTTGAATTATCTGTTCCCTTTATATTAATATAGAGTAGAATATGTTAATGGTGTACATTTGATGGCAGCAAACCAGGATTAGTATAATATGAACAAACATGACATTTCATATAATTACCACAACCATGTTTGTGGCAGAAAAACAAAAACAAATCCAAAGAAACAAATGGAAGTCACAATATGAAAGTAACAAGCTCAAAAGAATTCTCAGTGAGCACAAGGATTCTGTCTTTAAGAAATCTAAGACCAGCAGGTATTTGAACCAACACAAAAAATGCAGGGAGAAAAAAAAAAAGAACAGAACATTAACAACATTAACTAAACACCTCTAAGACACACAGCAGCAGCAGACTCAAGATCTGGAATCCACTGTTTGATGGGAAATTAACACATTAAGGGCTAAGAATTCATGATCTGTTTGGATTTGTTTTGGTGGCATTCTATTCAGCTGATCACCAGAGATATAAAGTTGCTTACTGAGTACATGTTAGCTTAATTTGTTTCAGTTAATCATAATTAAAGATGGCAAAGTCACATTTGAAGTCATTTAACAACTTATGGGATAATTTGTTTTTTACACTTAAGTAAAAAATCATGGGGCTGGGGATGTGGCTCAAACGGTAGCGCGCTGGCCTGGCATGTGTGCGGCCCGGGTTCGATCCTCCAGCACCACATACAAACAAAGATGTTGTGTCTGCCAATAACTAATAAGTGAATAAATATTTTTAAAAAAATCATCAAAAATTTCTTCCAGATTCCTAAAATGCTATTACTGCATTTTGATTTTGAGATGTATATTTTCTAAGAATTGAAAAAGATTATAGCCTGCTTTAAAAGAGTCAGCAGAACATCAGTGACTTATAATATGCCTCATTTATTTACTGAACAAGTTTTTGACACATTACAAATGGTTTATGTACAAAGAAAAGATTATTTAAGTGCTAATTTGATTTTAAAAATCAATATTTTATTCAGCAAAGTTACAATTTCAAATTCAAAAGCCTAGTTTGTCCTCAGACTTCTTAAGTTCAACTAACAAATCTTATTATTCTGTTTGTAAATCTACTAAATTTTAACCAATTCCAATGAACCTTTGTGATTTAAAGTCTCTTTAAGGATTCAAATCCCAGCAGGAGGATTACAAGTTCAAAGTCATCCTCTGAAATTTAGCAAGGCCCTAATAAATTTAGCAAGACCTTGTCTCAAAATAAAAATAAAAAAGTTGGGGATGTGGCTCAGTGGTTAAGTGCCCCTGGGTTTAATCCATAGTATATCTACTACTACTATATCATCATCATCATCATCATCATCATCAATAAAATAATTTAAACTACATTTAATTTAAAAATCTACTTAAATGTCTACTTGAACATTTGTTGTCTGATTACAAATAAACCTTGCCAAATATTTAATCTTATAAAGCTGTGCAACAAAAACTATAAAAATATGGTGAATCTCAAATGTTCTCACAAACATTCTAATACTATTCAAAACTTGAAATTTTTCCTTAAATATGTTAACTTATCAATTCTAAAGCAATTACATAATTTCAATTGTAACCACAAGSCTAATCTCTTATGAACATACTAGTTACCCTCAAAATGGCAAAGCCCTAAAGATACTAAAGAAATTTAATAGGAAAAAATAAATAAAACCATTAAATGTAAATTATTTCATSACCTTCATACTTAATTCTTATTCTTCCTGGGGCTAAAGATATTCACTAAAGAATTAATATCATCCCAAGAGAATAAGAGATGACCTTTCCAGAGAATTTGAAGTTTACCCTCCCGGGCTTTAAAGACTGAAAGAAGTTGGCAGGATGTGAATTCTTAGACATCCAGAGTGATTTTTCTCATTGTGAGAAAACTTGATTCCAGAGTCCACATCCTTGTTTAACAAGTTATACTAACTTTCAAGTTTGAAGTACATCAGTACTGTTCCTCTAGGTTTCATCTTACCTTGATTGGATTCAAAACATTTGTATTCTATTTGATTCAATTCTGAATTCTTTGCATACTCTTCCTATTCATCAGGTCTACAACTCTTATTATTCATATGAACTAATATGGAGTTGGAGTCTGCATAGTTGTCAAGAATTACCTAGTTCCACAGCCACACTATGAAGTTCATCCTAAATGACATTACCTTGCATCTATGTTATGTAAATCAACAGATTCCTTTAAGAACTCAAAGCCTCTGACATGAAAAAGACAGAAAAGCCAGGTGGGGATCACAGTTAAATGTAAGTGCTGAACTGAATGCAGATGCTTCACATGCTATCAAATACAGAAGGAAAAGGAAATGTGCCTGAAAGCCTCAGCCATAAACAAATCATTGCCAAGGAAGATTTTACTCAGAGCCCATGTGACCTTCAAAGGAAGCTGCTATGCAGGTGAGTATCCAGTGAGCCCTGATGGAAATCAAATAATTAAATGACAGGCAAGTTACTTCTAATGGAATTTAAGAGGTAGAAAAGGCTCTTTATAAGATTAATATAATCTTTATGTTTTAGGGGGAAAAAATACACTTAGAAAGGAAAAGCAGCTGGAGGACCAAAATTCACCTAGCTAATTATTGTCAAGTCTGAGTCAAAGTCCTAGAACTTTCCAAAAAAACAAACCTGCATAATCATCTCTGTATCATAAATTAATAAACAAAAAATAAAATGCTGAGTCAATAACCAGAGTAAGGTCTTTCAGCATTAACGCTGGCAATGGCCACCACACACCTCCACTGGATTGGCTTGGATTGTGTAGGGGTACCCTGCAATCTGTGCAGTTCCAATGATACCACTAGAACTAAATAAACTGAAGAAATGGGTTTAAAGACAGAGTAAATGGTTATAGGCAACATGCCTTAGTTGTGGACTGTTAGGTAATATCAGACAATCCCATTTGTTGGTTTATTTCTCTTACATTCTTGGCATCATATAAATGGTACACGTTTTAAGTGAACTAAAATTATTTTGCTTCAACGAGGCGTTTATTAAATAAAAAATGCAATAAGCAACACTTTTGTATGTTTACTATGTACCAGAAAGAGTAACAAGTATTGTAAATATTTTCTCATTTAATGCCCATGACAATCCTATTATTTTCTCAATTTTCCAAAGGAAGTTTAGGGAGATAAATAATTAGCTAAAGATGCTGATGAAACCAAAATTCAAAGCAGACAGATGGCTCTAACTTCCGAGTCCATTTCTTAATCATATGCTTTTACATCTTAAGACAAAGAGAAACTATGCTAGAGTCTATACAAGACAGGTGTAGAGAAAAAAAAAATGTTAGTTTGTCAAGGGCTCAGTGGTAGAGTGCTTGCTTAGACATGCAAGGCCCTAGACTCTTATCTCCAACACTGCAAAAAAAAAGAGAGAGAGAGAGAGAGAGAGAGAGAGAAGAACATTCAATGCAAAATATCTGACAAGTTCATGAATGTACCTTCTATTGTGCCAACACAAAAGAAATAGCCTAACATCATCTCAGACCCAAAGCCCAACTTTGAATTATGCAAATTAATGAAGGACTGGAATATCAGGAAGATAATAGGATGTAATATCTGCTACTGCTGCTGCTGGGGGGTTTCCTCCTTGTTTTGGTGTGATTTCAGCTGTCATGAAATGCAAGGATTATCTTCCTTTTGCTACTCTCAATTCCACTGCACCACGAATAACTAGGAGCAGATTAAAAATATATATATTAWTATAGTTGGACACAATACCTTTGTTTTATTTATTTATTTTTATGTGGTGCTGAGGATCGAACCCAGGGCATCACACACACTAGGCAAGCGCTCTACAACTGAACCACAACCTGAGCCCCTAGAAGCAGAATTTTATGTCTAAATAACAAAATGGAAAAGAGCAGCTGGGGCTGTAGTTCTGTGATAGAGTGCTTGCCTAGTGTGCATGAAGCCCTGCATCCAATCCAGAGCACCATTTTGAAAACATGAGTCATCCACAGCTTCTGCGTTGGTGGCATAAATTTGTGTATGTACTCAAGCAATAAAATCATTTTTTTAAAAAAAAAAAAAAGATGAAAAAGAACCGTTTATGAATAATCTCTATGTTCCCTTCCAACATCTCAGGAGTCCAAAACAGATAAGAATGAAAAAAAGCGATGGTTAATGTCATTTATTTAGTGACAATCTAGGCCTAAAGGAGAAGTGAGCAGTGAGGCACATTTCTGTAATCTAAGCAACTCAGGAGGCTGAGGCAGGAGGACTGCAAGATCAAGGCCAGCCTCAGCAACTTCGCCAGGCACTAGGCAACTAAGAGAGACCCTGTTTCAAAATTTAAAAAAATAAGGGCTAGGAATGTAGTTCAGTAGGAAAGTCCCCCTCGATTCAATCTCCAGTACCAAAATAGAATCAAAAAAAAAAAAAAAAGAAGAAGAAGTAGAAGTAGAAGTAGAAGAAGAAGAAGAAGAAGAAGTAGTAGTAGTAGTAGTAGTAGTAGTAGAAGTACTAGTAGAAGTAGTAGTAGTAGTAGTGGTGAGCAAAATACAGAAAATCCCATCCACGGGAACCCAGGCCTTGGATCTATTCCTGTGAGTGAGTGAGAGCCTACCCTGTCATGTTCAGACGTTATGATTGCTTTTGAACGGCTGGGGACAGGCTCCTGGCTGCCTTGCCTACATTACCATGAATTAYGGGACAAAGGATGAAACAGCTAATCTTCTGCCTATTCTGCAAACTGGGGTCAAGAGAATTATGAAACAAATACGGCTCCACTTTTTTTCTGCATAGACTGCTTCTTCTCACCGCACACACAACTCTTTCCATATACACTATCATACTGGAGCGTCACAACAGACTTGGAGGTAGGGTCTGTATAAATTGCTCTCACTCTACGGTGGCGGAAAGCCTGGCGCCTCTGGCAATTCTTCAAGTAGTACTAGTAAACTCCGAGGCCTACCCTAGGTGAAACGTTCCTCACCGAACCAGGACCCACCCTCCGACCTCCCCCAGCACACTCCTAGTCTTGCAAAGGGGACGCCCGGCAAATGCTGACCTTCATCAAACTCCCTCCAAATACCACTAAGAAATCGACCTCGTCGTTCCTATCCGGTCGTTACAAGGCCTGCACTCCTTTGGACGGAGACGGGATTCGCCCGAAAGCCGCAGTTCGCTTTTGTCAGTAGCCCGGGCTAACGTCTCCCATCTTACCTCTTGATGGTAAGGCTTCGGAAAAGCGGGTACCACGCGGAGAACTGACAGTGCAGCACCTGCTCCTTCTTCATCCTCCAGCTACCTCCGTCCCTACTTTTCCCTCACCTGCCAGCACTCTCCCGGAACCCTAGGTTGCACTTCCGGAAGTGCCCGCCAAGGTATTTCGGTTCGAAGACGCTTCCGGTCGGTAAGGCTGGCAGGCAATAGGAGAAAAGGAGGCGGAGGTCAATCGTAGGGGTACTCTTAATACGCGCACACACAAAAAGCATTTGAGTCCGGGAAGAGGAATTGTAGAAGTGTAAAAAAGGAACTTGAGTTTATGTCTCGGCTTTCATCCTAGACGGACTGCGACCCGGAAGGTAATCATTCTAAGGCTAAGTCAGCGGCGGGATTTCTACGGATGCCTCGAGGAGGACGCGTGCACATCCTCTTAGCACCGCGAGAGGCGCCGGTGTCTGAAGTCGTGCCACCGGTATCTGCAGAGGTTGCTGCTTCACGCTCGTCCTTTTTTCTTTGGTTCCTGTTCCCTTATTCTCCCCACATCTTGGAGTAGGTAAATGGGGGCGGAACAATCACCGGACGAGGTCTCTTTGGGAGTGGAGAGGGCGGGAGGGGGCACGCGTGTTGATCTCGGACAGTGCAGCAGCCGCGCGCGTGTCTCCCAATCTGCGGCTGGGCTAGAGTCCCAGCGCGGAAGGAAAACCAGCGATTGCGATGGAAGAGCCTGGACTACGGAGGAAGCAGGGGACGCCACAGTTAAATGTTTGAGTATATTGGTTGAGGCAGCTGCTAACAGGGGGAATGGTTCCTCTTCATTCGTGTTGATTTTGATAGACTGAGCGGAATCCCGCCTGTACCATACTGCGGTAGGGTGGGAGGTGACGTTAGGTTTAGGAGGTAAAAGRGGGGGGAGGGCGGGTTAGTTTGAAAAAGCGTCAAGGGGAACGTTTTCTACCTTGAGCATCAAGTTCATTTAGTCCAGCCCCGCAAAAGTTGTCAGTCTGGAAACATACAGCCAGGTTTATATCAGTCTCTAAAATGATGGGATCCTAAAACTGGAAGAATTCTCGTAGAACTTGTGTCTTTTTTTTTTTTCCTTGCCCCTACTCCCCTTTCCACTGTTACCCCACGAAGTTGAGTTTTGTTTCAGAGAGAGAGAGAGAAAGTATTAGCTATTGAGAAACGCCTTTAAAAATCTAGTGGTAGCCTGGTACTGTGGCGCGTGCCTGTAATCCCAGTGACTTGGGAAACTGAGGCAGAAGGATCACAAATTCAAGGCCAGCCTCAGCAGCTTAGCGAGGCCCTAAGCAACCTAGTGAGACCCTGCCTCAAAATAAAAAATAAAAACAAATAAAATTTAAAAGGGCTGGGGATATGGGCCATTAGTGGTAAATTGTCCCTGGGTTCAATGCCCTGTACTTTAAAAAAAAAAAAAAAAAACCAAAAAAACCTTAGTGGTTCTGTAGGTGCTTGCAGTATAAGTGCACACGCTTAGAGTGACCTAAGCAGTTTTAAATTAGAGGTAACCCCACCTACTGCAGGCCTCTTTGGGAAAGTATTCATTAGAAATAATAAACGGGATCCACTGTGTATTTGAAGTTAGAAACTTTGCCCCCAGGAAATAAATTGTTTTTCTCAAAAATGTTACTGGCTAAGTGGTTAACTAACCACTTTAAAGGATACATTTTCAGAGCAGAGGTAAATAGATTATAATGTTGCAGTTTGTATCAATGGAGTGCAGATTGTAGTAGGAAGAAGCTGTATTTCTTACGTTCCATCTCTTAACACTGGAGAATGGTGCCAGACTGATAGAGCTAACAGACTTAATAGCAGACATGAAAGGTCACTCATACTTTTTTATTTTAATTTTTTGACTAGGAAGAAAAAGCTGCAGCTGAAAGAAATGTTAGAAATGACAGAAATGCATTTAGTAAGGTATTTTCTGTATAAGATAAGAATTAACAAATATATGGGAGAAAACAGATTCCAGGAACGTAGTCCTTTTGGAAGAAGTAACATTTAAATAGCCTGGGAAATATTTGAGYTTGAATACAGCATTGCAGTTTCTTGTAGAGACACAGCTTAATTTAAAAACTATTAAATATAGATCCTGCAGGGAAAKAATTTGATATGTCTTTTATACCGACTGTATGCTTTAGAATTATTTTAAGTGACTTTTTTAGAAGTCTTACCCACCGTTTGTTTTAACTTGTTTCACATTTAACCAGCATCAAATAAGTTAACACTACAAACAAGAGATGCTCAAGTATTTGAAATGGATACAACTGAATGAGCTTTCACCCTTTTTTTACACTACCATGGTTTAGCCAAGAAGTATTTATATTCAGGTCTCTTCAACTGAAACCTTTACAACAGTGGAAAGTTGCTTTTTCTCCTGCATACTGACAAATCTCAGCAGTCAAGTGATTATAGAGGGAGGAGGTTATTGCACAAATCCAGAGTAAAGAATGTGACAGCACATTTACTTCTTTGAATCCATAGCATAACTAATTCTTCTAGATTAATATTTTCAACTATTGGAAGTTTTCTTCCATATGGATATCTTGCTAACACGATAAACTCTTTTTATGAACTCCCTATGTCCTAGTTTCCCTTCAAATCATCGCCTGGAAGTAGCTTGGATTTACCCCTTCCCTAGAAGTTGTTTTAGAGCAAATAATAAACTTTTCTGCGAGAAATTAAATGTTTTTTCTTTTGTCAACCCACCACCCTATTTCAAACACATGTTAATCTCTTGCCTGATCTCTAGCAAGAGGTTCTTTGCTTGGGTCATTACTATAACCAGTTAACTATTCCTAAGAGTTCAGTCAGTTCACTCTTGTTCAACCAGAATCAAGTGATAAGTTACCGATTACTATAATCTCAATAAATGTTAGTTCCTTCCCTGTCCACCCAACAGCTACACCTGCTAGAGGAAAAAAAAAAGGTTTTCTATTAACAAATTAAGTATATTTCTATTAACAAATTAAGTATAAGAAGTCAGTGGTGCTTAACCACTGAGCCATATCCTCAACTCTTTTTTCATTTTTTTATTTTGAGACAGCGTCTTGCCAAGTTGCTTAAGGGCCTCAGTCTCCCTAGCCACTGGAGTTAAAGGTGTGCGCCTGGATTTTCAGTATTTTCTGATGGTGCTTATGGTTTTGAAGACTGGTTCCCTGCTTTTAGAAGTTTGGGTATGCACTAAGAAATTATTTGGAGTCAGTGTCACTTTTAAAAAGGACATAGAGGATGGAGATATAGACCAATGGTAGATYGCTTTCCCAGCATGCACATGGCCCTGGGTTTAATCCTCTGCACTGCAAAAATACATATATGTAATCAAAGGAGGTAGAAATTTGACATAACCCAAGAATTTTATACCATTCTAGACATTTTATTTTGTGTATTCAATTGGCGGGGCAGGGGTGGTTGCTGCTTTGTTACCTAGAAGTTATTTTCTGTTAAAAAATTCAAAGCTTTCCTTACACATTGGCAAATTTTCTTCTCTGGTGTGTATGTTATTAATAGAAGGGCATGAATGTCTAGAAGGTAAAAACCTACATAAAGTTTTTTTGTTGTTTGTTTGTTTGTTTGTTTGTTTTATCTGAATGTAGTGCATGCAGGTAGAGACAGGTTGATTTTTCTACCTTTGGTTAGTTTTATCTGAGTCAGCATGCTACTTTGGTTGCAACCACTTCTCTCAATCAGTACCAGTGAAGAGTTTACCTAGTAAATCAGTATCTGAGACATTTTCAAAGGAATATCTACCTGTTCTCTTACTAGGCCTCTAGGTTTCAATGTGCTAAATGACTGTCTCTAAATATATAAATGTCTGTGTAGCTTGCTTTCTTATTACTTGCAAGTCTCTGTTCAGATGTCACCTTGATCATTCCATATGGATTACTTCCTCCCCCATCCTGCACATATCTTCCCTACTCTTTTTATCCTTTTTTTTACCTTTTCCCATAATACTTCAAGTCACCTTTTCTCCTCCCCACCAGAAGGAAAGGTTTATGAGGACAGAATCTGCCTCTATACTGGCCACTGTTGCATTCCAAACACCTTATCTTTAATGGGTCTGCTACAAGGTGCTTTAGCCAGGTCCATTAAGATAGTTAGACATTTGATTTTTAAAGGTACTTTATGAATATAAATATAGTTTGGGTTTTGTTGACTGTATTTTAAGATAGGGAAACTTGCTGACAAGGTAAAAATTAAAGATTTGATTATCACTTTCGATTCTGGAAGAAACTTTTTCCTTAACACAGATGATAACCAAATTGATGTTTGAAGGTCTATGCAGTTGCTTCCTTATCTGTGGGTTCCACATCCATAGATTGAACCAACCTTGGATTGAAAATATTGAGGGAGGGGGTCATTCTTTCTGTACTGAACATGTAGACTTTTTCCTTGTCATTGTTCCCTAAACAACATAATATAACAACTGTTTTTGTAAAATTTATGTTTAGTATAAGTAATTTAGAGATGATTTAAAATATATGGGATGTGCTGCAATTGTGTACAATGAAYCAAAATGCATTCTGCTGTCATATATACCTAATTAAAATAAATTAATTAATAAAAACATATGGGAGGATGTGTATTAGTTGTATGCAAATATCATGATATTTTATCTAGGAGATCTGAGTGTCAGGAGATTTGGGTATCCAAAGGGAAGTCCTGGGTCCAATATCTGTCACCACCCCCGCAACCTGAGGGTTAACAATTTTCTCTGAAGCTAAAGTTATGAGGTAGAGTAGGTTGGGGAACTATGAAACTTCAGAGTAGTAAAGGGTTAGAATACCAATTAAGAAATGTAGATAAATGAGGTAACAAGGAAATGGAAAAGAAGAATGACAAGAAGAATCAATTCACAAAACTCAACAGCTAAATAACAGTTCTTAAAAGAAAAAAAATACAGAAGAGGAAATTATCAATAAAGCAATTCAAGAGAAGTTCCCTAAAAAGAAGCACAGTATGAAGTTTCTATACTGGAAGGACCCACTTGAGTGGTCCTTATGATAATGTCAGTGGGAAGACTCTTTCTTGGTCATAAAGCTTCYCAAGAAAGAAAACAGGTCACATGGAAAAAAGGATGAGGAATCAGAATAGCTTCAGACTTCTTAACAGCAAGATAACTATGCAGTGCCTCTAGATGATTAACCAACTGAAAGGGTAGGGAAAAAAGACTCTCAGATGGGCAAAGTCCAAAAATGAAGAAGGAAACTAAGGAAGAGGAAGCAGTGTGATAATAGATCAGGGATCTGCTTTATTCTTGACAGACCTTCTAGCACTAGTTGACTGTACAACTGTACTTTGATACCTGTTGAAACTGTAATATTGATAGTATACAAATGTGAGTGTGTGTAATGCCACTGAACTGTAAACTGTAAGCAAAATTGTTAAAAGGATAAATCCATTTACCCCAACTTATTAAAAAGGAAAGAAGGTAAAAAAAAAAAAAAACACCAGCACAGGAAACTGTTAAGTTAGATATAAAAAGTTACTAAGTGAGGACTGGGGATATCTTAGTTGGTAAAGTACTGCCTGGCATGCATAAGGTCCTAGGTTCAATCCCCAGCACCAAAAAAAAAAAAAAAAAAGTTGGTGAGTTAGTGTAGAGAGTGGTGTGTAATCTTCCCACTGTTTTCTTTTGGAAAAAAGTTTTAGATATGGAATCAGAAAACCTGATTAAGAGACTGTCCTCCAGGTGCACAGCAGGRGTTAGTGAATGTGAGTAAACTACTTCCAACTGCAAGAGCCTGGCTTCTAAATTTGCTTTTCCATCTAGGCCACTACATATCCAAAAAGGAGAAGCAGCTTAAATGGTATATAATTGCCATTTGAATCTCTTGACTAGTCGCCTATGGCCAGCTRTTTGTTTAATTCAGAAAAAATTTAGTCTAAACAAATTTCATTATCTTACAGCGGGAACTTCTCACTGAGGACTAGCTGGATTGAAAATGGAGAACCAAGAACCAACAGATGCTTCTCGGAATACCAAACAGACTATTATTTCAGAGGAGGTATAATTTGTTTTTCACTTTCCTTTTCCCTTCCCACATAAGTCTAAATTTAAGAGAGGTATTTATGTTGTTTATTGTTGCAGATGGATAATTTGTAAACATTCTCCTACTCTCATTTTAGGGCTTTGGTGCTTTGTTTTTTCTTTTTCTTTTTTCTTTCTTTCTTTCTTTTTTTTTTTTTTTTTTTAAGGAAAAAGAAGTTTTGTTTTGCTAGCAAATGAGAAACACAGGTTAGTCCTTTCCCAGAGTCTGCAATTCTGCCCATCAGTGGGAATAGGGTTTTTTTAAAAAGTGATTCAAAGGCAACATTCCAGGTATTGTCTGTCCAAAGTTATAATTCACTTGTCAATTTGGAAGATAGTCATTCCTTAAATCTTCTAGTTCAAGTACTTTTTGCTTTTGTGTGACAGCAATAGTTTATCCCTCTTAGTTATATGTATGGATGAAATGAGACTGTAAGTAGATTTTGACTCTTAATAGAAAATTCTTAATTCTTATTAAAATAATCTACTTCCCTGAATAGAAAGGCAAAACTATGTGGGTCTTTTAAAACTTTGATATTTCATATTTAGTTATCATATCTTAGCTGTTTGTGATCCAACATGTATGTTTAAGAACCTGAATTGGGGCTGGGGTGTGGTTCAGTGGTAGAGCACTCGCCTAACATGTGCAAGGCACTGGGGTTCAATCCTCAGCACCACGTAAAAATAAATAAAATAAAGGTATTTTTTCCAACTACAACTAAAATATACATATTTTTTAAAAAAAGAAACCTAAATTGTTAGTTGTGGACCAAATTCCACTGACTTTGTAGAACTAATGTCTTTCTTGTATGTTATTCAATTTAGTTTTTCAAGAATCTCTTTTTGCAGGAACCATTACAGTGGATAAATTTTAAATCCTTCATCAATTCTGATCTTGGCACCTTTCTGGAATTATTTTTTATTTAAAAGTTTTTCCATTGTCTGTGAACAGATCTGCTGATAATTTTTAGGTTGCTGCCAGGAAGAAGTGAAAGATAGGATAGGAAGAAAAAAGCTACTGCTTTAAGTATACAGTGAAACTCTCTCAGTTCAGTATAGTGCCATAGGTAAGTTAGTCCTTGTAACCAAAACTCCTCAAACAGCTAGCCTGAACAGTCCCAGGGACTTGTCTTAGATTGGGTGGACAGATCACATGTCAGGGTAAGAAACTTAATCCTGGACCTGGTTTCCCCACAGTTAGTTTTCCAATATAATCTTCTATGGAAAATACATTGATAAAATTTTACCCACGCATACACCTATGTAGCTAACACCCAGATGGGGGGATAGAACTTTAGTAGGAGTATCCCAGAAGACCTCTTACCCTTGGTGCTCCCATCTAATTGCCCCCACTTCCTCCATCCCAGAAGTTTCAACATTTTTACTTGTTGGTGCTGAGAATTACACCAGAGCCCTTGCACATTCTCTCTCTGAGCCACGCTCCCATTTCCTGTCCATTTTGACTGTCACTTATTTTCACTTCTTTTTTTTTTTTTTTGAGAGAGAGAGAATTTTAATATTTATTTTTTAGTTATTGGCGGACACAACATCTTTGTTGGTATGTGGTGCTGAGGATTGAACCCGAGCCGCACACAAGCCAGGCGAGCGTGCTACCACTTGAGCCACATCCCCAGCCCATTCACTTCTTAATAATACCTCAAAAACTCCAAAGAGAAACAGAGCTAGCCTTAGGAAAAACAACTTTGAATATTTATTCTGAAATGAAAACTTGCCCAAAATTATTGGGAGGGAAGCATGATTATTGGGGTGGGGGACCACATATCAAAAATCTGAACAAAAAATACCTTTTAGATAAAAAACCAACTGAGTTAGAAAATTTCCCAACTTACTATCTGATCTCATTTTAGTTAATTTCAGAAGGAAAATGGGTCAAGCTTGAAAAAACAACTTACATGGATCCTACTGGTAAAACTAGGTAAACGTTTTCTTCTCTTATAAACTGATCAATATCTTGGTTCTCTGGATCTCTGTTGAATGTTTAACATTATTTTTTTATGTTTTCCTCATTATAAACTTTTAAATAAGGACTTTAATGAAGATGCTTTTCCACTGTTAAAATGTTTGGATCATTGATAATATGAATAAAATTAGGTTATAAATTTGTTACAATATCTAATCAGGAAACYATTTTAACACCATTCTCCCCAGTAGACTAGTGTGGAACTAAACTTTTGTGTCAAACCTAATTTAGTTGCCAAGATAGCAGAATAATTAACAATACATGTAAACAATACTTGTAAAACCAATACTTTAATCTCTAAATTAGRAAAATTTAAAGAGAAAACAAGAACATAGCTGGTTTTAAGGTAACACCTAGATGTTTATACCTTGTTCATAGAAATGTAAATTGGAAGAAAAACCCATATCATAATGCATATTTTCACTCATTGTAGCAATAGCCAGAAACACATTGTACCTTTTGACCTAACAGTCCCACTTCTGAGAATGTCTAAGGAAATTATCTCTTGTTTAGACTCAGATTTATACATGAAAAATGCTCATTAAAAAGTTAAAAGAGGCTGGGTGCAGTGATCCTTGTGATCCTCCTGCCTCAGCTGCTTGGGAGGCTGAGGCAGGAGGATCACAAGTTCACAGCCAGCCTCAGCAACTGCGGTGAGATGCTAAGCAACTCAGTGAGACCCTGTCTCTAAATAAAATACAAGATAGGGCTGGGGATGTGGCTCACTGTTTGAGTGCCCCTGAGTTCAATTCCCAGTACCGGGCACAGTAGCACATGCTTGTAATACCAGCAGCTAGGGAAACTGAGTCAGGAAGATSGTGAGTTCAAAGTCAGCCTCAGCAAAAGTGAGGTTCTAAGCAACTCAGTGAGACCCTGTCTTTTAGTATTTAAATAAAATACAAAATACCCTGTCTTTAAATAAAATATGAAAATAGGGCTGGAGATGTGGCTCAGTGGTCAAGTGCCCTTGAGTTCAACCCCCAGTACCCCCAACCCCACAAAAAAAAAAAAAATTGGTGTGGTGGCACACACCTGTAATCCCAGCTACTTGGAAGACTGAGGCAGGAGGATCCCAAGTTCCAGGCCAGCCTCAGGAACTTAGCAAGACCCTATCTCAAATTTTACAACATGAAAAAGGACTGGGGATATAGCTCAGTTGTAGAGCATTCCTGGATTCAAGTCTCCTTACTATTAAAAGAAGAAGAAAAGAAAGTTAGGGCTGGACTGGAGATTGTAGTCCAGTGATATAGATAGCCCTTGCCTAGCATGCACAAGGTCCTAAGKTCAAGCACTGCAAATATGTATATGTGTGATTAACTAATTGTTATGGTGTATTTGAAGAAAACCTAGTAAAATGGGAAAAGTTAATATAAAAATAAAGTAGAAAATGGTACATATGCTTATTTAACTCTGCCAAATAATAAGAGAAGGCTGGGAGAAGTCTAACAAAAAAAGGAGAAGAAAAAAAAAAAGACAGCTATGTACTTARTTCTTATTTTTCTGTTTTCCATACTTTATGTTTAGTAATCATTTCTGATAGTATTATAAACTATAATTCAGCAGTAGAGCACTTGCCTAACGTGTAAGGAAGCCCTAGGTTCCATCTGCAGCACTACAAAATATAAAGAAAATTTAAAACTATAATGTATTCAAATAGATTATTTACCTAATGAAACATAATRAGTAAAACAGAAAGTATGAAAATTAGATCACATGATTTATCCAGATTACATGATTAATATTCAGTATTATAAAAACTTCATTTGTTAAGTGATCAGATAAAAATACATGGCTTCTCTGTGGGTAGACCCATCTGTCATCAAGGTGAAGAAAATACATGGACTCGCAAATTTGGACAATTTTGATTAGATCTAGTRAATTAGCACAAACAGTAATAAGACCTGGTGTTGGAGAGCTATAGGAAACATTAAGATATTTATATTGCACTGTTGACTCAAAACCCAAAAGTAAGAAAGCTAACACACTATGCCATCATCATCCTCGAAGACTGTAACATTTAAAATATTAAGTGAATTTAATATTTTAAAACGTAAGGGATACGGCCAGACCCAATACAGAAATGTGGCAAGGCCAAGCTTCAGGGAGCACAGTATATTCAAATGTATTTATATTTGTAAAAATATATACAGACATTGGAATCCAATATATTATGATATGGTATGGTTTCTTTTTCTTGTAAAACTAAGTTTATAACACAAAATACAACCCTTAACACTAATTAGTCTAAGAATATGTGTTGGTTTATGCCATGTATCTCTTCACCGTAAAACTAAGTTTATAACACAAAATACAACCCTTAACACTAATTAGTCTAAGAATATGTGTTGGTTTATGCCATGTATCTCTTCACCTTGCTAGTCATCTTCCCTTCCAACAATTAATTAGGAATGTCCACCAGAGTCATTTGGGGATTTTCTTCAGAGTACTCAAGTCTAGGTCTCACAGAGTCTATTTCAGTAATTTGGGAGTGGACCCTACCTTCTACCAACCTAATTGTACATGTTCATTTCCATTCTTCATCATATAAGTCGTCTTGCTGGCCCCTGATGCAGTCTTATGTAAAGCATTAATATTTTTGTACTGGAATATCAAACTTTAAAGACGAAATCTCTGTACTTTCTAGTAGGCCACATTCTGTAAATTTATAAGAATGTGTTCTTTATTATCTAGTATAAAAGCATATGCAGAAAGGATAAAATAGCAGCTAGAGAATCCTTTGGTCCACTATCTTATTTACAGAAGAAAGGATATGAAATTAATTTTAGAAGTGTAAAGACATACTGGTGGTAAGTCCCTACACTGACATTCAGGGTAGTGCTGGGGTCATCCTTTGTTACCATCCAACCTCATGGAAACAGAATTCTAAAGCTAGAAGAGATTTTTGAGGTAATGTATTTGTTCCCAGGTTTTAGAAATGACAAAACATTTTCCAGGAGATTGTGGTTTTAGTTTAACTGGAATGCAAGTAGAGATTAAGACTCTCTTACTCCCATTGAAAAATAATCTCTCAAGAGTCCCTTTAAAATTGCTAGAGCTCTCGTGGGGACACTGTTGTTCTAGTATTTCTTAAAAATACATTTATAGTTTATTGCTGGTATTTTGTGGCTCAATACTGCTTATTGACTTCATCTTGACCACTATAATGATGCTACTCTTTTTGTTTCCCTTATTCCTAGTGTATTTGGGATGGGACCTTCAGTGCTTTTTCCAGCACTATCTTCTTCAGTCTTTAGGACTAACCTTAAGAGGCAGCAGAGGGAGCTATGCCAAAAGGTGTTTTATCTCTTGGAACCTGTATTATCTACTTATCAGAAATTGCTTTTTGGTTGGCTTCTTGCTACTAACAGGAATGTTGGGCTGCTGTGAGTTGTCATAGTAGTCTTTATTTTCATGGGTTCATTTTTACATACATTTGCCCTTTAGAATTTGGGTATGATGCTGAAAGATATACAGGGTTTTTTTTTCTTTATTTGTAAACCAGATTAAATATCAGAAAATTGTTTATTAAAATGGGGCAAGGTCCAAATCTTGGGGACCACTAGATAAAAAGTATGAGCAAGAGGGTTTGTCATAATAGTACATTTCATAACCCTTACTACTGGGCTGCAGATATTGACTCCTTTCTTATTCAAATTCCCAGAGCCACCCAGATCTCTCACTTCCTTTTGAAGAGAACTAAAATTGTTTGCTTCTCCACTCCCATTTTTTACCAGTTTTTTTWAATTTTTTTCTACTTAAGGGAGGAGAGCATAAAGGGAGAAGTTTCCTGTTATGCTCTTTCCCCTTTAAACAGCATGATTTTTTCAGTAACTGCATTTTCTATATAAGTTTGCTCAATGTTCCTGTCGAGGAAGTGGATTAGTACAGATGTTACCAAAACCTGAAGTAACATAGCCAGGAACAGATAGCTAACAAGGAGTAAAGCCATAAAAGGGAGCAGGAATTTGCTGTTACCTCATTTTTTCCCTGTAGGGACCATTTTTCCCCCTTAGACAAAACTTCACATATGCAAAATAGAGCACTTACCTCAATTTAATAATTCCTCAGTAAATGGGAAGGTTCTACTTTCTTAAACTGTGTACTTTAGGTCATATATTTTAAAATCTATGTAAATAATGTCAGTAGTTGGCATTGTGCATGGGACAAGGCTGGGCTCTTCCTGGGGCTTACTTTGCTTCACTGCTTAACAGCCTTCACAGCTGCACTCACCAGCTGCCCTGCTCACCTGCAGACTGATGATCCAAACTGAAGTGTTTTGAGAGTGGCAAAGCAAGTGCCTAGCAGGCTTTCTGTTAGATGGTGCCCAGAKGGTTAGATGTAGGGTGGCAATGGTTTTCTTTGGTCATTTTGAAATTCTAAGTACAGTTGGCTTTTTAAATAACAGATCTTTATAGTCTTGGTCTTCTTGGTCAGTATCATTAGGACATTTGCATGCGTTGCATTTATGAAGTTCTGGTTATACATGGAAACCTAAGAACATTCTCCTTTAACACTAACAGTTTTTTTTCATCTTGTCTGTCTGAACAGAACTTGGGAAACAGTGAAACGTACAACCAGGAAAGGACAGTCTGCTGATGGTATGAGTCTTATAACTCTCTTTCTAAATAAAGTTAGCACAGATAATTACAGGAGAGTATTTAGTATAACCAGAATCTCAGAGAAAAGAGTTACATTCAGTTATGTTCTTTTACCTGAAAAATCTTTTTTTTTTCCCCATTCTATGTAACTAAATAAAGCTTTGCTTTTTTTTTTTTTTTTTTTGTATTGTTTTGTTTTGATGCCATTGGGGATTTAACCCAGGGGCTCTCTACTGCTTAGCTACATCCCTGTATCCTCAGATTTTTTTTTTTTTTTTTTTTTTAATTCTGAGTTGCCATGGCTGGCATCCAGTTTAAATGAAGCTTTCTTTATAAAGAACTTCTGGTTCTTGTTTTCTAAGCTCAGGTGAGGTGTACATATTTTTATAGCCAAATATAAATCTTAAAGCCACCCTGTGTGTCTATATTTGCTGTTCAAAGATCCAGGTGAGAGCCCTCAGCTTGGTAAAATGATTTGACATACCTTCTTACCCTCAACCCCTTGCTTTTAAGTTAATGTGAATTGGGAAAAGACACTTTTTTTCAGTTCACCTTTCCTTTTATGAATGGTTTGACTGCAAAGACCTCAGAAACAATCCTGAAAATCACTTCTGGCATTGGGGAAGTAGGTCTTTTCTTATTTTTCCTTTTTATTTTTCTGRTATCTATTTTTACTATAAGCAGAGTAGTTTTGCTGCAGCTCTTRTTCTTACCTGAAGCAAAAGCATTTAAAAGGAGCCCAGGCCTCCTCCCAGATGGTTCATATTTTCCAGAACCCAGGGGCTTTTTGTTTTTTAGTTTTGTTTTGATTAAGGCCAAGTTACTTGGGAGGAAAGACCTTTTACTCTGTTATAACCAGTCTAGTTAGCATACACTAGTAGCAGTGGAGTCTACTTGGTTTCTTGCTTAATGGAATTGCAGGAGCATAGAGATCACTAACTCACAGTGGTCTGGCTGCTGCACAGTGAGTGATGGTTCTGCCTAGAGGTCCGCGTAAACTGAAGCTTCATGTCCTTGACCCTATGTGAAATACTTGGTTTCAGTTTAGTTTTATTTGTTAAGAAATTGAGGTGGACATGGTGACATCCACCTATAAGGCCAGGCAGCAGGATCAGGAATTCAAGGCCAGCCTGGGAACACAGGCAACATAGGTAGGCCCTCCCTCTCTCTCAAAAGAAGTGACAATTAAAATGAGCTTTTTATTTAAAAAGTCAAGCACAGAAACATGATTATTTTTTTAATCACAGTTTTAAATGAGAGTTCYAACGTTAACTGCCAACACTAAAGATTAAGTTAATTTCTTATTGCTTACTGGGAAATTCGGAGTAGATTCTGGATGCAGAAGTCTGGGGCTTTAGTTGGATTGCTCTGAGCAAATTGCTGGTCTGGCTAACCTTTCTTAGGGATTACCTTGCTTTCATTTCCTGGTGACAGGTGTAGCAGTCATCCCAGTGCTCCAGAGAACTCTTCATTATGAATGTATTGTTCTGGTTAAACAGTTCCGACCACCAATGGGCGGCTACTGCCTGGAGTTCCCAGCAGGTGAGTAGCTGAGAAGGAACATAGCATCATGTTGAGCATGGCAGGGCCTGAGAACTGCAGTGCTTAGATCTTTAACATCTTTTCATCTGTCCATGTGGTTGTAAGTAAAACAGAACCATTTCTGTTGGGAGGCTCTACCAGGCCACCAGCCACACTCCAGTGATCCACTGAATCCAAGAAGGTGATGTGAGGCAGGGTGCTACGGCCCACCTTTCCATGYCATCCCATCCACCTCTCTACAGTCTCTCTACAGTCTCTCTTTKAGTAATTACTGTTCCTTAATTTATCAACTTATTCCCTGTCATTAGCAATCTGCTCCTGATAAGAAACTTAGTAATAAGCARGTCAGACTCAACTCCAAAAACCATAAATGAAAAAGACAATTTGATCTACCATCGATAAACAGGAGAAGGAAATTTTCTTAATTTCAATATTTTTTCAGTTATACAGTAATTAAAGCAATCCAAAATTTAGTGCATTATATTATTATAGGACTTTATTGGATTATCCCTGTCTAAAAAGATGAACTCTCATTTACTTGTCATTAATGGTGTAAGTGTTGTGTTTTGGAGTGTACTTAGTGGTGAAGTGCATATTGAGCATGCATGAGGCTCTGGGCTCAATCTCCATAACCACCACCAAAAAAAAAAAAAAAAGAAGAAGAAGAAGAAGAAAAAGCCCAGTTCATGGTAACATACAGTGATAGCTATTTCATTTCTCATTTACTTGCCATTTTACTAAAGAAATTAATAAGAATCAAAATAACTGAGTAACCTGCAGTTCACTTTTTCTTGACATTGTTTTATTCCATTCAAGCAAAAGAATCTGAGTTGCCACTCTCCTTCCACTTGTCCTCTCTATTTGCATCTCACAATAACCATAATGGTCATCTGAAGTCCACCAGCCTTCAGTTTACTCCTTTCTGGCATTTCATGATAAGACATCAGTATTTTTCTGTGGGACAGAAAGGCAAGATAGATAAAGCAGCCTTTTGTGCTATGTCACATAGTTGGCACCCAAACCTAGCCATTTAGCCACCACCAAGTCACTTTTCCTTAGAAACACTGTGCTGTACAAAAAGACTGTTGATGTAACATCGTCATGAAAAAATTCCAGATATAAATAAGGGGAATGTCAGCTTTATCTTTAAAACCACGTTACATGATCCTCTGACTCATCTAACATAGTTGAGCTATGCTAGAAGAATGAAAAGGTGCAATGAAATTGAATTCCCCTATCCCATCTCATAAGTGATCTGGATTTGCAGGTCTCATAGATGACAATGAAAGCCCAGAAGCTGCTGCTCTTCGGGAACTGGAGGAAGAAACTGGCTATAAGGGCGACGTTGCTGAATGTTCTCCAGGTTTGTACTGCTTGCCATGTGTGCACTTTGGACAATCTCTTGAAAATCACTAGATTCCTCTGTATAAAGGGATCAGTTATTTGGATATTCTTTATGCTCAGAATTCAAGTGACTTTTATTTCAACTAATTCACTAAAGAGAATAGGTTATAATTGATCTCCTCAGGAAAGCAGGTAGAAACAAGAAGGACCTGAACTTGGAGGAGAATCATGAAAGTTAGATGCCTTTCAGAATTTCCCCCATTCTAACCTTTAGTACTTTCTCACCTTATCTACGTGCCACACTCCTCACTAGAAATATCCTTTTTTCTTGTAACTAGGCAGTGCCACCTAACACCTCAGACTTAACYAAACCTGACTCAATAACTCTGGGGAAAATGGGAGAAATGTGTGTGAAATATATTAGTATATATATGCTCTGCAGTCCAGTAGCATGTACTGACTGAATATATAACTGTAATATTGCTTTATTAATTCTGTAACTATGAATCCCCAGTCTGTCTTCTTAGGATATTTAAGTAGTAAGACAAATGAGAAAAGGGACTAAAGCATCTGACTGGTTTCTTAAGATGAGTTGTCACTGCTCTCCGTAGTTGTATGTATGGATCCTGGTTTGTCAAACTGTACCACACACATCGTGACAGTAACCATCAATGGAGATGATGCAGAAAATGTAAGACCTAAGCCAAAGCCAGGTAAGTTGGTGTTGGCTACACTGAAGGAGGCTGAATTGCATTAAGTATCCTTTTAACTTGTTAAAATTATTTTGTTAAATGAATCATAATCTTCCATTCAAAGCATAGTCTTTTAGAGGTACTTTAGTATTCTTGTCTGTTTTCCTAATTTGAGTAGTTTAGCATTTTTCTTTCACTTGATTTTTTTTTTTTTTTTTTAGAGAGAGAGAGAGAGAGAATTTTAATATTTATTTTTTAGTTCTCGGCGGACACAACATCTTTGTTTGTATGTGGTGCTGAGGATGGAACCTGGACCGCACGCATGCCAGGCGAGCGCGCTACCACTTGAGCCACATCCCCAGCCCACACTTGATTGATTTTTATTCTTTCTTTATTTGAAATGTTAAATTACACATTTTTATATGAAGARTAAGTTTATTCCCACTTAGTAAAATGAGCTACAGGCCCAAATATAAAGTGAGAAATTTCAATACCACCTTGATTTCTGTATTCCCGTGTATTTTAAGAATGACAAGTATTGTTAAGGGGCAGATGTTTATCAACTATTCCTATAATTTCTTACCCTTTTTAGTTATTCCTGCTTCAGTGTTTAATTGCAACCAATTTTAAATGCTTAGTTTTTAAATTGCAAATATAACATGCTATGAAAACAGTCTGGCAATTCCTCAAAAAATTAGGTATAGAATTACTATGAGATCTAGCATTTCCATTCCTAAAAGAACTGAAAGCAGAGACTCACATACTTGTACATCCATGTTCACCACAGCATCATTCATAGTAGCCAAAAATGGAAACCACCTAAGTGTTCATCAGCAGATGAATGGATAAACAAAATGTAGTCTCTGTACACAAGGGAATATTCAACTATTAAAAACTTGGTGTGGTATGCTACAACATGTATGAACCTTGGAAACATTATGCTAGGTGAAATGGGCCCAACACAAAAAAGACAAATGTTATTTGATTCTACTAGTATGAAGTACCCGTAACAGACAAATTAATAGACACAGAAAATAGAGATTACAGTAATTATCCATTATTTTTTAATGGGTTCCAAGTTCCTATTTGGGGTGATAGTTCTGAGATTAACAGTGGTGATGGATGCACACTGTGAATGTTATTTGATGCCACTGAACTATAACCCTAAAAATGGTCAGAATGGAGCCAGGGTGGACATAGCTTAAATTATAAAAACTAAAGATTAAAAAGTTGCCTACTTCTAAGAGAACTTTTGTTCTTAACAATTATATAACATTATGTCACTGATTCATAGGGGGTTAAATTAATTCTGTGGGTTAGAACATCAGAATTATTAGTGTCCATTTTCATCTAAGATCTTTATTCTCTTAACATTCTTGGTTCTATTGAAACATTTCAGTATACAAAAATACTGTAATGCAATGTTGATACCCAAGAGAAAAGCCATTAGCATATGTATGCTGGTGGTCATCATGATCAGTGTGGTACAATTTTTTAAATAACCTATCATGCCCTTCAAAAAAAAAAAATGGCCAGAAAGGTAAATTTTATGTGTATTTTACCACAGTATACAGATATTACACCTACATATGTATATTATGGAATATGCTTTTAAATGTTCTTATTAAGCCCTTGATTTGGAGACTAATAACTTTGTACTGYTGGAATTTGTTTTGCCATGAGATAACTAAAGTTGGTAGAGAATCAGGTCTCTGTTAGATAGCCATTTTGATATGTCTTACATTATTGAAGCTTTCCAAGGTATTACCTTGCAGTCTTGCTAAAATGTTCTCCTTCTGTTGTTTATTTTCAGGGGATGGAGGTATGTTATTCGACTTCCAGTTGCTGACCACTTGTATGGCTTAGTATAGTGATGACACTACAGACATTTTGGGTTGTTTGCTGGGCTCTTGTTATTTAGCTCTGTTTTCATTTGAACTTTGTTTATTTAGAATTTGTGGAAGTAATTTCTTTACCAAAGAACGACCTGCTGAATAGACTTGATGGTAAGCATCCTTAAGATTATTACCCAACTTTCTTTATCTTAATGTCCAGTACCTAGAAACCATTGTGAAAACTGCCATTGACATATAGTAATTTTTTTTCCAGCTGGTATGGAATTTTAGAATATAAGCAAAACATTCTATATTCAAGTGAAAGCCTTTAGTAGGGGTCTTTTTTCACCAACAAAATTGTTTAAGATTATATTCCTGTTCAAAACTAGCCAAAACTATTCTGTACTCTCAATCTTTATTCCGTAGCAGTGAAAAGGCATAAATAGATATGGCTTAGCTTTCCCTCAACTATATTTTGGATGGTTCTTTATGCAGGATGTAAGTTAAAGGAGAATTTAACAATATTTCTTCAACAAATATTTGTAGTATCTTCTGTATGCCATGATAAACTGATATAATGAACCAAACTAACTAGCTGTATGACCCTTTTTAAATCACTGGTCATGTTGTTCYGTTCTGTAACTCTTGGCCAGTCCATCTCACAGGGATTTTATAAAAATCCTGTTATGTGGAAAGATATCCTTCATATAACTGCCTCAGGTGATACTGCTAATGCAGACATGACAAGGGCTGTCCCAGGAGTACTCTGTGCAGGCTGGGTAGATTTCCATTCATTTACAAAGGAGACCCTTTTCAAAATTTGAATATTTTGTTGGTTATAGTTCAGGAAATTGATACCTATTTTTTCTACCATTTTTAAGTAATTATTTCACACATTAACTTGAAGCATTATTTGCTCAGAAGCTTTTTAGAGTGTCTCTTCCTTCCATGACTGCCAGTGGCTTACAATTTCACTTCAAAGCAGATCACTCTGAAATGTCTGTTACTGGTTTGAAAGGTAAAATGGGTATCTTTCAAAAGCTACTGTGAATTCAGACTCTCAGCCTCTGTCCCTACTTTACCTTTTAAAATACTAGACCTAAAGTAGAAACCACCTCAAGATCTTAAAAGCAGACTTAGAAATAATTGTATCATATTAAAAAGAGATACCATTCMGAGAAAGCCATGTCGGTGGCTAACATGCAATACAGTTGTAATACCTGCAATTAGGAAGGTTGGGACAGGAGGATTGCAAATTCAAGGCCAGCCATACCAACTTAGGGAGGCCCTAAGCAAACTACAAAATAAAAAGGGCTGTGGATGCTCAGAGGTAAAGTACCACTGGGTTCAATCCTCAGTTTAAATAAATAAGTAAAGAGGCAATATAGCTCATAGTTGCATAATCCTTACTTGGTTTGAGGCTCAGCTGATTATTTATGACTTCAAACAAGTCTTGATCTCTAAACTTTATCTTAAAACATGAATAACAGTAGCCTCTGCCTCTTAGGCATGAATAAAATGGCACAATGTAGGCAAAGCACTTGGCATCCAATGCTTAAGTGCTACACGCCATCAGTTTTTATTCTTTCTTCCATTGAGAGTATCCTCTTTAAAAAATATTTTTCTGTGTCCTGTCTCCCACCTAATTTGCCTTTGTTTCTGGTCTTAGAAGAGGGGGAAAATAGAGCAAGAGAAGGAGGAGGGGAGGGAGGAGAGAAAAATATGAAAGAACCAGTTTGCCTAATCTTAGTAGATACAGTAATCAAGTAATTTATTCAACAAGGAACATTTGAGAAGGTGTAAGGAAGGTATTTTAAGATCAGTTTGCCACAAAGAATAGCATTCAACACTTATCGAGCATTTGCTATACATAAGTGAGTAGGACATGATCCCTGCCTTCAAGGATCAAATTATCTTTGAGATTGTTCCCAAACAAGTGGCTAGGCAAACTACACGTTCAAAGTCTAACATCCTCCTTTGGAGTGAAAAACAAGTTCCCACTAAGCCCTATTATAATATAATTCTGAGAACACATTCTTAGTAGTATTCTTCCAGGCCTAACATGCACATATTTCAGCCTGCCAAGGGGAAATGTACACCCTCCATGGGAGAATCATCACCTTGGMGTTTCAGAAGACTAAACCCAGAGCTGTAAATGAAGTATAATCATTGGATCTGTGAACTTACAGCTTTGCTGTCTTAATATGTAAAATCATTATCCTTGGTGTTCTATCTTGTGCTRGGAATGGGATCCTGCTTTTCTGTCCTTCATTCTTCCTTTGGAGTGGGATCTCTGAAGATAGAAAATATTATTACGAGCATCTAGCCTATGAACAGGCAAATACTAGTTGTACAGTAAATGTTGAAAGTGTTATCCATTGTTAAGTGCATTTTCTAAGTTATATTTTTTGCTTCCTGCAGCTCTAGTAGCTGAAGAACATCTTACAGTGGATGCCAGAGTCTACTCATATGCTCTGGCGCTGAAACATGCAAATACGAAGCCATTTGAAGTGCCCTTCCTGAAATTTTAAGGCCAAAGAGGACACTGGCCCTGTTTTTGTAAATGAGACCACTAGGTCTTCTTCACAAAGACTTTGTATTCAACTTAGTTTAATGTAGATTTGAAATTAGTTTTTTCATAAAATAAAAGCAGCACAAAATGCATGTGGTGGTATGGAACTGTAATTACAGGTAGGGTACAACCTTTAAAAGTCTAGCTACTATTAATGGAAACAAACAAATGCAGGGTGTCTTTACTACAAGTTTTATTTCTTTAAACCCAACTACTACTTTTTTAACCTAGTCTAAAAGGTAGAGATAGGAAAGCAAACTTGAGTTCCAAATTGGGTCAAATCTTTCCACCCTCAACATCTAAAATAAAAATTCTGTTGCTGGGTATGTATACACCTGTTTTCTGCAGTAGTGTTTTTAGTTTTGAAGAAAGAGACCTATATAGGACTACTTTGGCCTCTCCTAATTGAATTGTTATATGGGCAATACAGTATGTAAAATCTAATAGAGAATAACATTTGTGATAAAACAGTATATGATGACTTGATAACCATCTAATTACCGAAGGTGACCCAGCTTTTAGGTAATGAAAAATGGTTGATTCTACTCAATATACCAAGGCAAAGAGAGTAGTGAAAATCCATGGCCCTTCATTAAGCATGTACACTATACTTTAGATCTGATTTCCTATATTTATCTCAGAATATACTTGTGAAAACAGATCCATAGAGCTGGGGTTGTGACTCAGTGTTAGAGTGCTTGCCTAGCATGTGAGGCCCTGGGTTCGATCCTCAGCACCACATTTAAAAAAAAAAAAAAAAAGAAAGGTATTTTGTCCATCTAGAACTACAAAAAAAAAAAAAAAAAAAAAACAGATCCATAATAAGATTGACAAAGTATAGGCAGTAAGATTAGCTAACACTTGAAGCCCAAACTGAAGGGAAACGTGGGGATAACTGGTGCATGCCATCCCTGAAGTCCATCACCCAGTGTTCCAGGGCCATTTAATTTTTCAGCTTCCAACAGCTCCAGCATAMTTGCCTTTTCAGTTTGGCCTCTCAAAGAAGTCAGAATGAGGCCAGGCATGGTGATGCATCCTTGGAATCCCAGGGGTTTGGTAAGTTGAGGCAGGAGGACCATAAGTTGCACGGCCAGATGTAACAATTTAGCAAGACCCTAAGCAACTTGAGAGAGATCCTGTCTCAAAAAATGGACAGAGGATGTAGCTCAGTGATAAAGCACCCGTGTTCAACTCCCAGTACCATCTCCTGTTTCCAGCCTGGATCTAGGGATAAAGGTAGGCCCCTCAGAACAATATAATATAAAGGTTTCAGATAAAAGCAGGTACAAAAATGCTCCAATCTATGGGTTCACCATCTGACCTAGAGGTAATATTATGAATAGAAATTTAAGCTCCTGGGGCTGTGTCTCAGTAGTAGAACGGTTGTCTAGCACATGATAGGCACTGGGTAAAATCCTCAGCCCCACATACATATAGATAAATAGAATATCCAGTTGGATATTTATTTATGTGTATGTTAGTTATATAAATGCTGCTCATACATGTGGTGAAGAGAATCAAACCCAGTGCCTYACACATGCAARGCAAGCACTCTACCACTGAATACAGCCCCAGCCCTCATACTTGTCATTWTACAGTAAGACTTAAGGATGGATATTATTACAGGACTCTAGAATTTTATAAATCAAGTTTACTGTCCTTCTAAGAGTGAAGATTTAGCTCCATCTCCTTGCTACAACAGTAACTTTTTCTATGCCTCTCTTTACTTAAAATCTTTAAAAATCATGGATATCATGATTCCTCAAAGGATGTATCCTATCATTTCTAATATTACTCTCCTCCTTTGAAATCAAGAAGAGACTCCAGCACTCCAATTCTTCCAAAGCCACTCCTTACAGGAGTCATCTTCAAGGAGTGAGGCTTATAACCTGGCCTTTCTTTCTTCCCAAGAGTCACTTAGAAGCAACAGCTAACTCCCAGAACCATCCCTAGTGCTGTTCACATTATCTGTGAACATCAAAAGGTTGTGCCTTGGAGATTAAGTCAGAGTCTAAACACTGCAGTCTGGGTGTTAAAAAGGGATTTAACAGGGCCTGGATTGTGGCTCAGCAGTAGAGCACTCACCTAGCAGGTACGAGGCACTGGGTTCAATCCTCAGCACCACATAAAAATAAATAAAGGTATTGTGTCCAACTACAACTAAAATATACACATATATATATATTTTTAAAAAATGATTTACAAAGAAAGTACAAATTCAAATAGAGACACAATATTGTTTTGAGAACACTGTTTTCCTGTCCCCTTCCAAATATTAATCACATGAATGAGTACCTTTAAATTAGCTGCTGTTCAATAATTTCAGATTAAACATTAAAGTGTATATTACATTTGTCCTCTTTAAACAAGCATCTCAGAATAGGCTTGATGTAAATACAGTGAACTTAAACAAGTAATCTTAGAGAACACTTAATCTCAGTTTCCTTTATTTTTCCAACACAACTGAAACAGTTTTATTAAATAAAAGTTTATTGTCTACTGTTTACACTCATGTTGCTGCTATAAGTACAACAACAGACTTAAATTCCTAGCATGAATTACTCATTGTTCACCCCCACTGAACTACAGACATTGCTTGAGAATTAGATCTTTGCTTTAGGGATTTAAAAAAAGAAAAGAATTGGGGCATATCATCTTGAAAGAGTATTCTCAAGTGACTGGCTGGAATTAGAAGGCATAGCCAATACAGTCAAACAGCACAGATTATGCTGTCCCTGGGAGGAAAGGAGGAATGAAAAACAGGAAGAGTAATCAGAAGCAATTGTTTCTGGCAACAGAAATACGGTCAATGCTTGATTTTGCTCATGTGGGCTAAGTGGCTGCTTTGGGAAGGAAAAAATAAAAGATGGGAATAGGGATGGAGCGGGAGGGGAAGGAACATGGATACTATGAATTAAAAAAGTATAAAAAGTAATTATCTAAAATATAGATTAGATATAAATGTTCCAGAACTCATCAGATAAGCTCAAAAATACTGGAAAGTGGCAATTTGAACTACATTTATTTTTAAACAAGGGGGGAATATTAAGTGTTTTGAATGTTGTGTGCAAAACTAATCCATGTCACCATCTCACTGTCATGATTTGACACAGCAAGGTAGATGCATTGGTTTCCAGCATTACAGGCAACACTAGATGTACACTTTTTAACGAATAATGTAAACTTCAGTTTTAAGGCAGCTGGTACTAATGCTGCACACAGGCTTAGCTCCGTGCCCATTTCAGAAATGGGACTGTTAGCACTTGAAAACAAGAAACTGAGGGAGGAAAAGGGGAACCAGCATTATTTGACAAAAACAACGTGTCAAAATGTTTTCCCTTTCACACACACAAAAAGAAATATTTGAACATTTAGAAAAACAAAGCACCCATCCCACCAACTTCAGCCTGTTCCTTAACAAATATTTCAAAATACTGATAAATAATTGTGACTGCAAGTAGAATTCCAGTGCCAGATCCAATGGCCCCAAGGAAGTCAGCTAACACCGACAGGGCGCCAATGCACAAGCCACCAAATGCAGCTGCAGTGGGGATATACCTAGAAGACAAAACCCTTAGTCAGGCAGTGGAGCAGAATGTGAGAAGTGACAGAAATAAGATGGCAAGGTTGCTTCTCTAAAGAAATACAAATTAATCAAATGGGAAGAGTATAGTATTGATGGGTTGTACATAATGGACGACACACTGATGAGAAACTGTGATTAAGGCAATGACTTGACTCCCATATTTTTTTTAAAAAGGCTAATAGCCAAAAAAAGGCAATATGTAATTTTTWGGACAGATGATCAGAACCCTGGGCTGAGATTTTAATTTTTAAACAAGTAACATTTACTTTCCTTCATAGAGTGAAAAGTAAATTTCAAAATGCTTTCTACATGTCAACAGATGGAACAAAATTTTGAAGATCCTCTTCAACAGTGATTCAACCTTAGTTGACATTGGAATTATGAGGAAAATTGTTTTTAAACARTGGGTTTTTATTTAAAATAAGGGTGGGAGGATCTGGGAGATATAGGAAATGAAAAACMGAATGGCAGAATGATGGCAGTTCCTGAAGCCAGAGGATCATTACAGCACTCCACCAGAGTGTGCTGCAACAATTAAAAAGTTCACGTGAAAACACTAGTGCCTTTTCRACAAGTCATGCTGGAGTAACTGGACACCCATCACACAACACAAAATGAACTCAAAAGTGCATYGCAGACCTACACGGAGAAGCTGAAACTTCTTGGAGAAAACAGGAATACAACTTGAGTTTGGCAATGCTTTTTTAGTTACTACACCAAAAGCATCAAAAACAAAATAAACTTGGGTTTCATCAAAATTAAAAACTTGTGCATCAAAGATCATCATCAAGAAAGTGAAAAGCCAGGCATGGTGGCTCACTCCTGTGACATGAACGCTGAGGCAGGAGGATTGAAAGTTCAAGGCCAGTCATAGCAACATAGTGAGACCCTGTCTCAAAATTTAAAAGGACTGGAGTCATAACTCAGTGGTAAATCAGCTCTGGATTTAACCCACTGTATCAAAAAGAGAAAGTGAAAAAATAACCAACAGAATGGAAGAAAATATTTGAAAGTCGTATCTGACAATTGTATTAAAAAAATAAAAATCCAAACCCAATTCTTAAAACTAACAAAAAGACAACCCAATTAATTAAAAATGAGCAAGGGATCTGAACAAATATTTCTTCAAAGAACAAACAGCATAAATAGCCAATAAACACTTGAAAAGATGTGCAACATCACTGGTCATATGGAAAATCAAAACCACAATGAAACCTCTCCATACACACTAGGAAAACAAAACTCAAAACATGAAGAGCTAGTGCTGGTGAGACATGCAGCATATGGAACTTCATCCACTGCTGGAGACTGTTGCAGCCACTCTGGGAAGCAGTTTAGAAGCTCCTCAGTATATTAACCAGTTACTATATGACCCAACACTTCCCCTCCTAGACTAATGAAAATGTACATCCACACAAAACCTATACAAGTATGTTTGCAACAGCATTATTCATAATAGAAAGTGGAAACAACCCAAATTTTCTATCAGCCAATGAATGGATAAACAATGTAAAAAAAATCATACAATGGAATATTATTMAAGAAAAAAAGAATAAAGTAATGATACATACTACAGCATGGATGAACAGGCAAAGTGAAAGAAGTCATCCACAAGAGTACATATTTATATGAAAAAATATACAGAATGTACAAAATAG